CCACATTCTTTCCTAGTTCTTGCAAATTCCTTTTTGGTTCATTTTTTTAGTCTATGTCTTAGCTTTTCTATTTTTCCTTGGCACTCTCAATGCTACTGTCTTTTCAGCTAAAATCCATGTTGCTCATGGCTGCTAAAATTATATATAAAGTGCAGTGAATACAATTAGAATGAAAAGATAGTGACTCTAAGGCACTAACATGTGCCAGAAAAAAAAATCCTTAATTATGTTCTGTACGTGCTTATGGCATAATAAATGAACTAAGACATTTTACAAAGGTTTTGATAACAGTTGTAACAAAAAGATTTTCTAAGAAAAGAGGAAAAAGAGTAAGAATAAGGTCTCATCCCTGTACAGGCAGAGTGGCGCACACCTGTAATCCCAGCACTTGAGAGGCTGAGGCAGGAGGATTGCCATGAGGCCGGCCTGGGCTACATAGTGAGTTCAAGGCCAGCCTGAACTACATAGTGAGATCCTGTCTCAAAAAACAAAAGAAAAGAAAAAGAATGGTCATTCTTCAGGAATTTGAATTTTCTAGAAATTTACTCATATAAACCTTACGAAGAATAATTAACTTTATGATAAATCATATTTTAAGTAATAAAGATCATGATTACAGTTGGCTATCAAGTTTGAGAGATGGATAAAAAAGATAACTGTCTGGTCCTGACATCTCATTCTAATTCTCACAGCCTATAACTTTGTCATTTCCACTCTTGCACTTTGTAATTATGGCAACATTTTTAAAAGGCATTTATTTTTTAGTCAATGTATGACAATTTCCAAAGTTTTTTAACATCTCAGAAATTTTATGTAAGAAACCAGAAAACAATACTTTGACAAAAGCATCCTTTAAAAAAAAAAAACACATTTTTCGGTCTCTAACTCAGGCTGGTCTTGAATTTACTATGTGGCATCCTTTTGACTAATCATATTCAAAAGAAAAGATCCTAGATTAATCAAACCTCTGATTCCAGAACACTAAATAAAAGAATGCTACTTCAACAGTCAACTGCTCAAAAAAGTGTTTTCAAACAGTTCATCTACAGAAGCATAAATGATGATAAACAATATATGGTGTCAGTCATTATGGATAAAGTTAATAGAAATACTATTAAAAAATCAGCATATTTTATCCTATTCAGCTATATTATAAAATACAGATACAGCTTTCCTTCCCAACTAAAAAGTGCCACTGTCTCTATTTCTTTTTTTTCTTTTTTTTTTTTTTTGGTTTTTCTCCGGTACCAGGAACCGAACTCACGACCTTACACTTGCCAGGCAGGCGCTTTGCCGCTGAGCTAAATCCCCAGCCCCTTCCATTGTCTCTATTAATTATTTTTTTCCTATGATAAAATATTACTTAAGAAAATATTTTGCATAAGCAAGTCTCCAATTTGATAAACATGAGTCAAGTGCAAAACAAAAGTATAATCAGGTTCACAATAAAATCCATTAAATAGATTTTTATGTGAGATGTTTTCCTAGGCATCTAAAAGATAAAATCACAAGTTGTCATGGGCTAGCACACCAAATTTAAAACTTACCAATTTCTTCCACTTCTTCTAGGAAATCATTATATTCTCTTAAACTAGGAAAGTCTTCTTCCCTTTTATTGTATCTTAAAAAGAAGAAAAATATCAACATGCTATACAATATTATCTAACTAGTTTCCTTCTTACTTAATTTATACATGAGTACAGAAAAAGGCTTTTTATTGTATAAAACACTGTTTACTTGATACCAGGTTTATAAGAACACCAAGAATGCTCGGGTATTGTTGTTGTTGCTGCTGCTCCTGCTGTTAGTGTTCTGCAGTGCTGGGGATTGAATCCAGGATCTTGATTGTGATAGGAAAGCACTCTACCACTGGGGCTCACAGCAAAGAATGCTGTTCTTAAAATTCTTATGACTACAGAGAAGAAGTAGAATAGGAGAGAATGCTACTACACATAAAATGCTTGTAAGGCTTAAAGAGATATTAGAAGCTTAAAGTATTGGGATTTAAGGTATATCATTGGAAATCATGACATTGTTTACTTCTTATAAATACATTCACTCATTTTATAAAACTTAAAATTAATTCAAAATAGCTTTCCATTTTTCATGAGAGTGCTAGACTAAAGAATGCCAGATCAGGAAAATCTGTCAGTCTGGTAAGGCACCTGTGAAGAATTCAAATACTGCAAGGGATTAGCAGTGAAAGACCATAACGTAAGAGAATATTTTCTAGAAGTAATACAAGTAATAAAAGAACAGCTAGAGGAATTGATAAAGTAGTATTGCTTAGGCACCTAGAAGATGTCCCTACACTGTCAGTAACCTGAAATGCTGCCAAGAGGCAGAAGTGAAATAATGGGCTGGGGTGCAGTTCAGCAGTACAGCACATGCTTAGTATGCCAAAGCCCTTGAGTCCAACCCAAAGTATAAAAATAAACAAAAATAGCCTTCAACAAGTATACCATCTTAATTTTAAAACAATGAAGTACCTTATAATAAAAAGACAGACAAAATTAAATTCAAAAATTGCTATCCAAGAGTAAAATACAGACACCCACCGAACTAAATTAGAGCAGATATATGAATTCCACAAGTAGGCTTCAAACCTCAAATTAAGTGTTACTTCCTCAGTCCTCACTTGCTATCACTGACCTCTATCAACACTCAGTACTGACTGTAGAGCAGTCTTCACAACTTATAACTGTGCATTTGTTTTATTTGCTTATTCTATGTTTCACCTTTTTGCTAGCCTATGCTACTATGATGTAAGCCTCTGGAGAAAAGGATTCATACCTATTTTACTTATTCTACTCATCAATGTTGTACCTACTGCCTAAGGAGCACAACACGGTATTTGCACACAGTAGGCACACAACAGATATCTGTCAAAGAATAAAGAGCACATGAATAGATAAGCTGTAAAACCATGGATCAAAAGGATCTTGTTTAACAAAGGTTAAAGAGAAACTGGGCATGGTGGTGCATGTCTGTAATCCCAGCACTCGGGAGGCTGAGGCAGGAGGATCGTTGTGAATTCGAGGCCAGCCTGGGCTACAAAGTGAGCCCAAGGCCAGCCTGAACTGCATAGCAAGAACCTGTCTCAAAAAAAAAAAAAAAAAAAAAAGATTAAAGAATATTATTCAGTTCTCTAAGAACTTAAGTACATAGATAAATTCATAGTTATTCACTTGCCAATCTGTTTACATCAGCAAATCATATTATTGAAATAACTGTTAAAATCTTGGCTGAACCATTCCAACAATAATACTTACATCTTTAACACTTTTTTCCGAATCTCCACTTCTTTGTCAACAGTGGGGTCTTCAAAGAGCTGCACCCTGAAGTTGCTCTTTCTAAGTGGGGTGCCACACTCAGGACAGTTTCCAGCTCCTCTCACAAACAGTAAATCCACACAACTTTCACACCTGCAAGGAAAGAAATAAAACATAACAGTTAAACTAGTATTCAAATCTACAAATTCAATAGTTTGCCCATTGAGGAGAAAGGGGGACAAACATGAAAACTATTCATTGCTTCTTAAAATCTTTTTAAAAAACTTTTAGAAAATGACCACTTTCAATTGGAGCTTAGTTTTCAGAATTGCATATCCCAGGAGATACCAACTAAATGTTTTTAAAAATTAAACAAATTTATCAATTTTAAAACAAATTGAGTGGGTAACTATATCTATAATGCTCCAAATAAAACTTTTTGAGTACTGACATGACACCACAAGTAGAAAATTTCATACCATAAAATTATTTCATGCATAAATTAAAAATATTATACAAAATTACCATCAGGCTATGTGTATACGAAACATACATTAATTTTCTGTGTAGAGTTGAGTCTCATCCCCAAGGTTACTCATCACACACGTGAAAATATTCCCAAAATCCAAAACACTTTCTGGTCCCAAGCAGGAGATATAGATAAAGGATACTCAATCTTAAATGACCCTTAGGAAAAGGACAAGAGAAGTCTCTACCAGAGCTCTGCATTTTAGAGAGGCATACCACCAGCACTAAAACAGACCTTTCCCTCTTTTATTCTCGTAAGGAGGTTTTCTGAGAGTTCACTTTACAGAGGAGAGGTGCTAGCCGCCCAGGCCTGAGGATAAAGAACTTTGCCCCACTATGTGTGGGAAAGAGAAAATTACAAAAGTTTCTGCCATGAAAAATCCTATGAAGAGTGACTATTTATAAAACTCCAATCAAGTAAGACACCCTCTCAGTGGTGACAAACCCAGGGCACGTGTGTTGTTTTACTTTTTCAGACAAAAGATGCTAATTTTGAGTTGTTTTTTCTAAACTGAAACCTCAGTATTGAGGTTTACCTGCAGCGTTGGCACTTTGCAATAATTAAGTGCGTTTGGGGTTGCAGTTCAGGAACTTGTCTCTAAGGCGGCTGCTGCCAGGGGCTGTGAGGCCCCAGTCCTGAGCTGGGGAATTCTCTCAAAGGTTTGTCATTACTACCCTGTGTCAACAAAGTGACTGCTTAGGCAAGCTAGGTTTCCTGGCATCCCCTCTCTCTTCATGGGTAATGCATTTTGGGGAAGGGCTTACAACTTCCTGGAAGTCTTGAGCTGGAAAAGCCAGGAGCTGGAGAGAGGCAAACCTCTGTGTAAGAAGATTTGTAGAAACTTGGTAGGATTAGTTTGAGTGCTGTTTCAGACGGTTCCTGGCAATACTCAATCATCCCTCCCCCGCCCCAGCAGATCCATGCTACCACTCAGAATAGCATCAAGGCCAATGCTCTGAAACTTTAGTCTTACAGTCTTATGGGTAGAGACTGCTGGGAACTCAACTTGCAGGGAGGAACTTAGACGGGATGAAGATACAGCCTGATAACTTTTAAATACTCAACATTTTCATAAATACTCAAACACTTCTACTCCTCCAGTTGTAATCTTAACCAACTCCACACAGTCCTAACCACTCCCTTATTTAGCAATATCTAAAATGATCTTATTTCTTTGTGTTTTCTGTCTCCCCCACTAGGATGTATATTTCATGAATGCATAATTGGACCTACTTTGTCATCTATGTGCAATGCCTGGACAGCAAGTAATGAATAAGCTTTACAGAGCAACAACAAAAAAGAATATATGACAGAGGAAAGAGAAAAATTTCAAAGAATAAAGGAAAAGTTAATTTATTTCCATGATGTACTTGAGTGAAAAGAGAAAATAAGAACGTTAAAAGATAATAGCAAAATACTAACAGTGACCTTTGTATATTTCTATCTTAATAGTGGCATCAAAAGTAGGAGGGGAAAAATCCCACAGATCACAGTATTCATTATCAAGATCAGAAAAGCCACTTTGGGCTTAGGAAGTATGGGAGTGGTACAGTTCCACAATTCCTTGTGGCTAGAAGAAAATAAACCCAATGGCATACTTTATAATTATACTGACGAAAGACATTTATAAACAAAGAGCCAACTGAAAATTACAGAGCATAAAATGTATTCCACGCTTCCAAGTCTTAGAGACTGGGCAGTTAATAAGTTCAATAGAATGTGTATAGAATACTTGGCTATTTCTAAAGGTCACACTGTGTATTAGGCATAGTATTTGTTTCTAAAATCAGTTGTACACTTCTACCTCTTAAAAATATATCCAGTATTACTGGCAGGATAGCTCAGTGTTAGAAAATAAAGAAAGGAACTTAGATGGGATGAAGAAAACAAATAAGGTTGTTTCTTTCTCTTTTTCTGGTGGAGGAAGATGATGGGGACTGAGTCCAGGGCTTCCGCATACTGAGCTGGAGATCTACCACTGAGCTACTCCCCCAACCCCTCCCTTTGATTTTAAATGCGAAACTCTCTGAGCTTAAACAATATAGAAATACACAGAGAAAAAAAAAAAAACGGAAGTTCTAACTTACTCTGTCCTGTTGATTTTAGTGTTTACGCAGCTATATTTTTTTCTCCATATTGGTAAACTACAGACACAAAAGTAGTCATATAAAAAAGAACAAAAGTTGATAATTACTAGTTCATTGTATCTGGTAACACAGCACCAAAACAGCAGTATGTGGGCAATTGCTGGCTTCCAAAATTACTAGGAATTTTTTCCAAAAAAATCTTATATTTTACAAAACAGAAAATGTTGCTGAAAAACACTAATTGTTTAGTAATTACCCATTCCCAAAGACATTTTTATGGTTTTTATCTTTATTTTTAAAGCCAGGATGATGTCCCTCCCCTTTTTTCTCAGAATGACTTATTTTTAGCAGACTTTATTTTCTTCTTAAGAATCAAAAATATTCAACTGCTTATATTCCCTTAAGATTTTGAACTGTCTTGTCTGGTTTACTTTTTAAAAATAACCAAATTCCACATAGAATTTTGATAATTACTAAAATAGATTTGTTGACTTCAAAAAAAGTAAATAATTTGTCACAAACTCCACATTTAAGGTTTTCTGTGCAGTAATTCAACACACCCAAAATCAATATTCACTTGAAGATATAAAATGAATAATAGCAACTTTGTGCATAAAGATTCATACATTCTAATGGAAATAGAAGAAAAAAAAGAAAAAGTAATTCTATAAGCATTCGGCCAATGAGCAACAGCTCAACAAATTACACTGTACACTCACACCAGTGAGTGTCAATACTTCGGATTCCCAATGTTCGAAGCCCAAAAAATTCTCGAAAACATGTGGACTCTACAGCATGTATCTATTCTTTCTGCCACTGATGAATAATTTTGACACAGAACAGCTAGAAACATGCTAGTGTTGGATGTTAAGACGCACGTTTAACAGAGGCTTAATACCCTTTCACAAGGTACAGTTGAGAAAACAAAGTAAAAACTCAGTTATAAATGGAAAGAAAAGCACTCTATCTCTATAAAGGTTTTTAGAAATAATACTGCAGACTGTGCAAAGTGACAATTTTACAAATGGTAAGGGAACATATCATGGCCACTGGGGCCATTTACGACTTTGGAGCACTGAAAAAGAATAAATTTCACTAAACCAAATCAAGAATGCATCCTTACAAGGACCACTGCTATAATTCTTTTGTTCTTTTTTATGTGACTACTTTCATGTCTGTAGTTTACCAATATGGAGAAAAAAATATAGCTGCATACACACTAAAATCAACAGGAGTTTGTTAGCTATTATCAGTGAGATAGCAGTGGTCCTTGTAAGGACAGGAAAAGACAAAATCTCTGGATGGGAAAGGACAAAATCAAGTTAAGAATGCAGATGGAGGTGTGGCTGGACACACCTGTAATCCCAGGAGTAGGACGACTGAGGCAGGATCGCTTCAAGTTCGAGGCCAGCCTGAGCTACATAGTGAGTTGAAGACAGTAAGACCCTGTCTTAAACATCCTAAATAAGCATGACTTTGATTCAAAGGAGTTAAACATATATTTGCCTAAGTAGGTCAAAGAACAATGTTTACAATTATCTGAAAAGGCTATTAAAACATTTCCGTTTTCCAACTACATAGCTGTAGATGACAGATGACCGTCATTTCTTTCAACCAAAACAATATATAACACAAGATTCACCACAGAAGTAGATAAAAGAATTCAGTTGTCTTCTTGTAAGCCAAACATTGAAGAGATGGCAAAAATACAAAACAATGCTACTGTTGCAGTCAGGGTTTGCAAGCGGACCAATTCAATACAGGACACATAATTTACTGGATTATTTTATAATAGTCACCCAAAGAGTCAAGTTCAAAAGAGTGCAGGAAATCTGTCCACATACTAAAGACCCAAAGAATCCAGCTGAGGGCCTGGATCCCACAGCAATGTCCTACACAAGTCCAGCTGAAGAGCTACGGCCCATCACAATGCCCCCCATGAGTTCAACCAGAGCCTAGAGTCTACGACAATGTCTCATGCAGGGCTGTTTCATGAAACTGCATTAAGAAGGCCCCACGGTCAGTGGTGGAAGCTAGAAAGTCTGTGTCAGAGGGATGAAGGATCTGTGCCAGCAGGCTGAGAAATCTGCACTGGAGCCAGAAAGTGACGCTCAAAGTAAGGACCACAGCTCCCCCGAAAGGTACTACAGCCATCTTCAGTGACAGCAAGGTCCCGAGCTCTTCCAGTGATGAGAATAGCCAAGTTCATATCGGGAAAGCCAGCACAACAAGCTTCTCCAGGAGACTGAACAGTGCACTATCTTCTCCTCCAGAGCCAGGAAGCAATGTTCAAAGTAAGAACCAGAGGTCCCCCAAAGTGAACTGTAGCCGTTCTCAGTGACAACAAGATCCCGAGCTCCTCTGACCATGAGAACAGCCAAGTTCGCATGAGGAAAGCAAACATGACAAGCTCCTCCAGGAAAACAACAGCTCCTCTTCTTCTCCAGTTCTTTTTATTTTGTTGGCAACAATCCTCAGGTGGGTCCTCCATACCCAGCACCACGCTGATTCAGTTCAGCTGGGTGTTACAAGCTGCCCACCAGTTGGCAATACACTACAGCTACCTATCCCACAAACACGTTACTTGTATTAATATATATGGGGTTTATAATTTTTAATGAAAAAATATTTTAAAATTTTCTTAATTTTAATTTCCAATATGGTAAAGATTACAGATATAGCCTTCATAAATGAAGCTCTGGAAGATCATAAATAATTATCAGGATTACAAAACACACTAACTGAAGTAAAGCACTTGTGAGCATGTGTGAGGCACGGGCTTCAATCCCCATATTCACTCCCAAGACACACAAAAATACAAAAAAAAAGTTAAATAACAAATATTTTTAAAAACACACTATAGCCAAAAAAATGAGAACTTTTATTACTGATAAATACATCAATTGAATATTGCTGATCACACACAGGATTACTTGTGATAAATGCACATGAGGCAATGTAATCATAAGTTGAGCAATTACTAAACTACTCAACCCATCAAGATTTTCTTATTCATTTGTATGAAGTAACTTCTTTTTAATTTTCCACTGAATCTCCAGTTCTAGTGCTCTTCTCACTTATTTTGCTTTTACACCTATTCCTCTTCCAAGAACCGTTACGTGTTTGCTTTGTAAAGTCCTCTTAAACAATCACTGTAAAGAAATCTGGGTATCACAGTTGTTCTGCTTTCCAATTCGTTAATCTCTATTTTCTATTAGTTATGTCCTTTATTCAGTTTTCTTATACTTTATTTTTATTTCTCAGTTTAACACTTTATTTGTATTTCACTCTTCATAACTACAACTGCATTAGTATTTTTCTACAAGTTTCATAAAAATATAATTCTTCTTCAAAATTTTTCTTCTAGGTCAATATTTATTAAGCATCCATATGGGTAAGAGTTTAACTAGAACAAAATATAACAAGTTATGAAGCTGCTATTCCTATCATTTAATTCCTCAAACGTTTAACAGAAACAGCTACCTAGCTAGTTCTGCATCACCTCTCAGTACAACGCCAGGACCTTATCACATGCAAAGTCATGCATAAATTGGGCCCTCAGATGTTCAATGAGCATAGAGGACACAATCCTGTGGACCAATAAAGAAAGCAGTCAATAACAGCAAATAATTTATGCACTCACTGGGCATGGTGGTGCCTGTAATGCCAGCACTCGGGAGGCTGAGGCAGGAGGATCTCTATGAATTCAAGGCTGGCCTGGACTACATAGAGATTCCATCTCAAAAGAGAGAACTATGCACTAAAATTGCAGAAGATATGCTATTACAAAATGTGTACGAGCTATAGAAAGGTAGACTGCGACAGTAAACTACCATTCCCTCTACCTCAACAACAGTAAATTCCAGAAAATCTGTCCTGACCAAATGTGGCTATTAAAGCAAGAACTGCATTTCTTTTACGATAGGCAAAGCTTAATTCGATCTGAGACAGTTCTGAAAATATGTTCTCATTTTTCTTTTTTGAAAGAAAAGTGTATCAATGTTCAACATTTATTAATCATTTTCAGTTAATCATTTTGAATGTCCAACAGGCACTATTGTAAATCAGTAAAATAACAGACAAGTTTTGAGACCTGTCTCCAGACTGTTTCAAAATCTAACTCATGAGCTCACACCTATAATCCCAGCACTTGTGAGGCTGAGGCAGGAGGATTGCTGCAGCACGTTCAAGGCCAGCCAGGCCTACATAAGTGAATTTTCAAGGCCAGCCTGAACTGTATGGCAAAATC